TCTTTTATTAAACCCTGAAATTTTGGGTCATTTAATTTAAAATCTCTTATCTTTAATGTACCATGATTCATGCGTATTTTTTTTTTGGAAAGTGATTTTATTTTTAAATTATATTTATGCATTAAATATTTATTACTACTAGTTTTATAGGAGAATTTTAATATTCTGTTTATTTTAGAATATATTTATGCATTAAATCTTGGTCAGTATCGCATTGTTGCTAAAATTAATAATTATCTACTCTTCTTATATGTAATCAAATTATTACTCAAATAAGGTTCACTTTATTCACTTAATGTTTTACTATTAGTTGGTGCTACCAAGTTGCATTTAATATTTACCCCTTAAAGGCACACTTATTTAAAACATCAAGTGTGTGGTCCAAAGTTATTGTTTTTGAAAATTTGTATAACAAAAATACCCTTTAGAATATTCTACCACTTTCATCTTCTCTCTCGCCTCGAATTGTCTTGTCTTCCAGGCATATTCAAAACCTTAGGCATGGAATACAATGAGAAATTCCTTCTTTCTATCAGTAACGAAGCTCGTATGTAGTGGAGCTCTCCGTAGTACAGGTAAAGCAAGAGAGACTACGAAATTGAGACAGAACAAGCATGGACGGCTCAAGGTAATTTAAGGCCTAAAGCGGTAATTTATTTTGAGACATTATTATTTTTAGTGTTAAAAATTTTGATTAAAATTAATTCTTTTCATTTTTTGAGTTGTAAAAGTATAAATTGAGTTTTTATATTTAAATTTTGTTATCATATTTTTTTTTCATTGATAATATCGCTAATCTAATTATTATTTTTTTGTGATAGTCAATTTTAAATAAAATTTTATTGATTTCAATTTTGAAAAGCTTCTTTTTGTAGAAGTAACTATTACAAAAATTAATAATAATATTCTATAAGAAATGCATACATTTGAAGGAAAAAATCTAATGTTTTTATATAAATTGGTGTTTCAATTAGAGTATTTTCTTTCATTTATAAAATCTGTTTTAAAATAATTATTTTTAAAATAAATATAAACTATCAATGTCAAAAAAATTGTTATGTATTAAGAAACATCCAAAATCAAGATAAATTTTTTTAAACTATCAGCATTTAATAATTTTATTTTTTAAGTTAAATAAACAATCAAAAAAATTCTTTATTTGAAATTGATATGAAGAGTGAGAATAAAAATGAGAGGGAGGGGCTTTATAGAGAGAGGGAGAGAGAGAGATGTGGTTAATAATGGATAGGTAAATTATGACTTGACTTTTGAGTATACCATCAGTTTTTTTAATAAAATTTTGATTTTTTAGGTTTTTATTATTATGGGATAAATCATGAGTTCAAAAAATTATTAAAATTAAATTTTTTGATTAAGAATTTTTTGTAGAACTTATAATGTTCATGGACTTAAAATTCTAAAGTGGCCAACTATTTATCAAAAATTATGGGCCTAAAGCCCAAGCTTTTTTGCTTCTATAGTTGGGCCAGCCCTGGTGGGGGAATATGCCAACTTCATTTGCATTAATTCGGAGCCTACCCTTGTTGAAGGTGCTACATCTTAGCGAAAATCCAATCCATAGCCTACCAGATTGTGTCAGAAGTCTTAATAGTCTCGACGCACTCCATGTAGATTCATGTTCAAAGCTGCAAAGACTCACAGGGTTACCCCATATAAAATACAACTTATTTACGAGCGATTGCCCATCATTGGAAAAAAATAGAATATGCATCATCTTTGGCCTCTGAACAGTGGTTACACTTAAATAAATGCAAGAATCTAGTGGAGATGCAAGGGCATTTCAAGTTAGAACCTGTATCAAACATTAGTGCAGAAGTTATCAATAATTTGCAGTTGTCCAACATAGAATCCCTCAGAAGCACTATGGTGGAATTGTTCAATCAGTTAACATCAACGACAAGCAAACTCCCCATCCAGGTGCTCTCTCTCTCTCCCCCCCCCCCCCCCCCCCCAAACTACTTGGGTGCAACTGTGAATATGCAAATAAAGAACACACCTTTTGATAATCACGAGCTGCAGCTGCCATTCCATTTCCAAAAGCTAAGTTGGACTTGAACATAGTCAATTTGACTGAATTCAGATCCATTTCAGTGTATACCACTGAAAAATTAACACACACCAATGAGACGAGGAATATGGTTAAATTTTGAAAGCTCAATGACTAAAGAGCCAGAAATATCATCAAATAGAACAATTAGCTACACCAAAATCACGAGTAAATGCACAATGATGATCATTTAAACGCAAAACAAACCGACAACTTAAATCCTGAGGTGTTCAAATCCGACAGAAATTAGGAAAATTGTAGATGCCTTACTTCGAGATCTCAAATTGAAAAGCAACCTTCAGAATCTACGAGTGAAATGTCTTTTTCCTAAGCAATTGGCGCACAAAAGGGCTGGGAAGTTTAACCCGGTTACACGCCAATTGAAGTTCTAACTAATTTATGCCTGATTTCACATAACTACACTGGTTTTTATGTTACTTCCCTTTCCCGTGGTAAAGGAAGCCAGGATGGAGATTTCCCAAATCCAAGCCCAGGTTACGAGGAACCCACATTGAACCCGAATTTAATCCCATTCTAATCTCTATTTTCATCCATTGAACTCAAGTTTCATCTCAAATTTCAGACTCAACTCCAATCGGAGTTTAATAATGTTAACATAATCAATACACGAGTTGAAAGATTCAAATTAAATTGAGATTCAAACTGAATTTAGAGCAAATTGCAACTGAGTGAATTTGACTTCTTAACTTCCCTTAGACGCATACATTGGTGATGACAATTGAAATGTGACAATACAAAAATGGAGGATGGCTTACAATGATTCAATTTAGGACCTCTGGGATTTCTCACCATATTTTTCATGGGATTCTCTTCTCTCTTCCTTTTCTATGGTCAGATTATTAGAGAAGAATAAAAAGAAAATATAGTAACATCTGAGTCTATGTACTTGATGGTGCTCGGAAATACTAGCCCAAGTCCAGAACCACATTCAGATGGCCTAGAGAGGGGATAGAACAAGTATATGGATTATGTTGGGATTTCTCACGATTTAAATCTACTAACAAACACACTCAATCGAAGAACAAATCAAGAATATAAAGCAATAAGAAACAAGAAAGAACAAGACACAGATTTTACGTAGTTCGGCAATTTGCCTACGTCCACGAAGCTGCAGGGATTCACTATTGAGAGAGTTGAATACAGAGAGCGGCTGTACCATTCACAATTAACCCTAATCACCAAAACAACAGGGTTTATATGTCCTACGCACAGGGCTGTATATCGGCCCAAGCCTTCGCTCCATGGACTAAGCCTCAGAAAAATTTTCCATTAAAAACCACACAACATTATTTCGGGTCGGGTCATCATCCGGATCACATATACAAACTAGACTCCATAAAAATAAACCAACAGATTAGAAATGGATAAAGCTGTGAGAGAAAAGCCAAGACATTGCCCCTTTAATTCTACAATGACAAACAATACCACTAGATTTTTTTTTTCTCTGAATTGGAAACAACCACAGTTAAATCAAACATTTTCCTCTAAAGTTAAATGAATTTATCATGTCAAAATTGAGTTATTCAAGTTTGATAATAACATATCCGGTGTTCTGGATTGATTTAGGGCAAAATCGTTGACTCGCTGGATGAAAAGGTTGGATCTCATTGGTTGAAGATGCTGGATCTTGATCAAGTCGCTAACTCAATGGATGAACAATGGTTGGAGTTCGTCGGAGATAACAGTCGTTGACTGGTTGGAGCTCATGGAGAAGAGGCTGAATCTCGATGTTTGGTGGAGGAGGAGAGGTCATAGTCGTTTGTGGAGGAAAAGAGGTGAAAATTTTTGAAAATTTCTAACTTAGGCTGTGATTTGGAAATTTTTAAGAGAGCAGATAGAACATTAAAATCGTTATTGTAAATGACGTTTTTTACCCATTTAGTTATTTAACGCCCGTTAGCTGCCGTTTAAATATTTATGTTAAAAACGTCATTATAAATGATGACTTTAAAAAGATTATTTTTAATGACGTTTTCAGAAAAAAATAATAATAATAATTTCAAATCGTCATTCTAAATGACGTTTTTACATCTGAATGCATCATTTCAAATGACGTTTTTGAAAATAAATTGAGTTTGAGAAATAAGTTTAAAACGGATTGGGTTGAGAAATTAAGATTTGAGGAGGGCTGGGTTTGGGAAAAACCTCCATCTTAGCCCATTGTTTTTTAAATTTCATTGACACCCCCATGAGGTTGGCCTAATTGCAGGGACACCCCCATTGTTTCTGAAATGTCACTGCCACACCAGGATGCAAACCTTGGTCGTAGTTTCCTTGTCCAACAAATTTCATTTCTCATTGATTTTTAATTTCCTTGATTGCTAAGTGGATTCTTAAATAAAAAAAAAAAAAAAAAATATATATATATATATATATATATATGTTCTCCAATTGAGCTATCAAACAAATTATAATTAAAGAAATAGTAAGTACTTTTCAAATATGACTTCAACTATAGTTTCTCCAACTACCAGGCAATCCTTGTTTCTATTGTGTCCTTGGGTTAGTGCAGTATGGAATGACTTGCCACTAAGATGCTGGTTTATAAGCAGCAAGTTACCAGTATAGAGCTATGGCTACAGAAGAAGTAGAGAAAGGATAAGGAGATAGGGAGGAATGCTCAGGCATTAATTAATAACGGTAACGATAACCAAATAACAAGTCTAAACATCCATAAACTCACAAAAACCAAGCAAAACAAATGATAGAGCTATGGCTACGGCAGATGTGGACAAAGGATAAGGACAGAGGGAACAATAATCAGGCATTAATTAATAACCAAATAACAAGTACATCAATAATAGAACCAAGATTCTGGAGGACAAACCAAGCAAAACAAATGAAAACACCTCACATGAGCATAAAATAATACTTAAGATTGTCATGCACCCAGTAGCACCCATTACCATCTTCAATCACCACCACTGCCACGAGATCCACCACCATCTTTCCTGTTTCCACCACTTGACTCATCGTAGAAAGACATCTTCACACTGTCACGGGTCACCTCCACTTCCTTCAGGCGTTCAATATCATTCAGGAACTGCCCCAGATTATTTGGCAAAAAGCGAACTGGCTCAACGAAAACAACTTGACCCCGTGGAATTTTGACATCCACTTCTGACTGTGAAACAATCTGCAAGAGCTCTGCTATTTTCCCAGCATTGCTAAGCTCCCTTATTACAGTTGGAGGGTCTACAAAGCCTGAAACAGTAACTCGTCCTTTCTCTGCATCTATCACCGTTGAATCAGGCCATACTCCGGGAATTTTTTGCAGCACTTTTTCGATGTGTGTCTCACATCCACGGCAGCTGATATTTACCTTGAGAACAAATGTTGAGGAAGCAACCCGAGAGTACTGTTCCATTGAAACTAGCCCAAAAACATATCAAAGACAAAGATCATAGTTAGACTTGCCTCCAACATTCCATTGAAAGCCATGAAGTAATCACTCTTGGTTAATTAATTAAATAAATTGGGATATAATTTCTACGCTTGATCTTAGTCAAAAAAACCGAGAAAGATATAATTCCATGGATAAGATACATTTTTAGTCTCTAAAATATGCGTGTAGTGTCTATTTGGTCCTTAAGATTTTAAATTTATATTTATATGATCCAATCTAAAACGTTCGTAAAAAACTCGTTGACGCCTGCGCCAATCACATAAGACTAAATAGACACAAAATATGAATTTTAGGAACCAAAAAAACAAATTAAAAACTTTAGGACCAAATAGACACAAAATTTGGAATCACATGATTGATGATAGACGTTTGAAATTAGACTACATAAATATAAATTAGAAACTTTAAGGTCTAAGACAAATAAACACAATTGAAAGATTGAAGACTAAATAAAGAATGAATGCATAATTTGAAGAGAGTGTATTTTACACTAATTTCCATATGCACCCAATTGCATCCAAAAGGCATCATGATGACGATGATCATAATAATAGAAATAATCAAAATAGTTATGACTGGTTATCTAGTCACTGCTAGGGAGAGAGAGGGGTATGGCCTTGGCGTAAAGGGCATCACGGGGTTCAAGACATGGAATAGTTTTTCCTCAAAAAAAAGGTAAAGCTTATAACATCTTCTTCTCTATAGACTTCATAATGACGAAATTTTAATGTTTTAAACTACATTGTTAATAATCACTATCGTAATTTTAGCAGCAACAATTAAAAATAAAGATGATGGATCCATATGCTTTAATCAGTATGTTAAGAATAAGATTACAAATCTGTCAGATTTGATAACACACAAGAACAATGAAATAAAACTAATGACAATGATTATAAAACTGTAAAGAAACTTACTATAAGACGACGGATCGTTCTTGGAGAAATCGGAAGGCTATGGAAATAATAAGTTTGTAGGAGCGTTGAAGGGTATTTTTATAGATGGGAGATGAAAGTACTTTGATCTCTTTTTATATTCTTAATACCTAAGCAAACCTCAAGAAATATCTTCGTACTATTTTTGAGATGCAGCTTCCTAGAAATTAAGCTTGTTTGATTTCGTATCTACACGTAACGTATGATATGTCAGCATAAAGTTAGCCGTCTGACAACAGCGCGCCGCAAGAAGTCAATCGTTGGTGGAGAAAAGACTGCTTATTTTTTTACTAGGGATGTTGACCCGAGTCAACGGATAAGAAATAGTAAATACGGCATTCTATCTTTTGAACCGACAAACTGTAGAAGGTCAATTTATTGGCCGACTTTACCCGATCGAGGTTATGTGTCGAATTTCATCCAAAAAATCTACTTGGATTAAAAATTGGGTAGAAACGCGAAATATTTCACATTTTTTCAGTTTTTAAGTTATTAATTTTTGGGTCTTATTAACAACTCAATTACCAAGTTTTTGGGCTATTTTTATAATTAGGATATTAAAATATAATATAAGAACATGTAAACTAACACAATAAATCAGTAATACTAAAAAAAATATAATAAATTCAATAATATGAGCATATAAAACGACATCATTTTATACCAAATATATTTATTTAAAAAAAAAATTAAATATATGTGCTAGTTAGATAAGAATGCAAAATTTTTATGGGTATTTCATATTCCTACCTACAGTTTTACAATATACTAAAATTTCTTTCATTGGTGGGCCGAAATTTTGGAAAATTCTAATAATTGGGTAGAGTAGAATAGGATGGATGCGAAACAGGTCGGGTAAACGGAATTTTAAACAACCCTAATTTTGTTAGGATGGCCGGCTGATTTACACTTTAGCAAACCAAACATATAAGTAATGTAGTAATAGTAATTATAATCTAGCTAAGATTATATATAATGAAATTGTTTTTTGACGTTTCTATCACGATTGTTCATTCAGGTTTCAAACATCTTTGAATAATTGTGACTTCTTTGCTAAACATCTTAGAATATTTTTAATTTTTAAATATATTTCAGACATGTCCGAATTAGTTTTCGATATATTAGGGTTATTTTATAATTGTTTTTTTAAATTATAAAATTATTTTTTTATTGTATAAAAATTAATGTCATTCTGAAGTGAAAAATTGTTACCATGTTTTTTATATTACAAAAAACATTTATTAATAAGATTTATTTGTAACTCTTTTAAATGATATACATCGTGATGAATTGTAAATGACAATAATTAATCTTATTTTTAATTAAAAATTTAATTTTTTATTTGTCCATATTATATATATATATTGATTATTAAATTTTTATGTTTAATAAATTTTTAATATTTTAAAATATAAATTTATAAACTTCTATGTTTAATTGGAAAAAAAAAGATTAAAACGAGCTAATACGTTTATCTCAATACTTTTTCCTGACTCCGGTCTCGTGTGTGAGGTCAGTGTAAAATACATCAGCCATGACAGTATGATCATATGTCAGATGGTAGGTGGAGCCAAGCTAACGAAGTAAACATTGTTGGAAATTTCAACCAATTTCTCCAATTAACAGATAATGATGGGTTGTCGTTTTATAATAATTACTAAAATCATAACCATTGACTTAGACTTCTCCGGTCGTTTCATGTTTTTCCCCTAACATTATCCTTGATGTGAACACCAACTTTGTGTGTCATCTTTTTTACACTATTTGCTGCCGCACAATTAAAATTATTAATTAATGGGTGTTTAGTTTAATAATATTTTTTAATTTGTGAAAATTTTATTTTCTTGAGATTCAAGGTTCAAATCTTTATCCCTCTTCCCAAAAAAAATTAAAATTATTAAATTTTTAATAATTTTTGTTGAACCTATTAATCTAAGGAAAAAATTTATTTACATCCCCTATAATTAGGTCTAAATTTAATGATTCTCTCTCCCGATTCTGAAACTTCAATTTCACCCTCTGTCAATGTTTGTTGAGTTATGGCAACAATTTACAGAAAATACTCCTAAATATTTTATATGGTAAATTTTATCTATAACTCTTATAAATAAACATAACTTTAACGACGGTCTCTATAAATAGACCTATATCTAACATTACTCCCTTCCGATTTTAAAATTTCAATTCACTCCATTTTAGTTCTATTATATTAACCTTTAGGTTCAACAATTTAATATTTAATTTTATCATTTCAAATGACGTTTTTGAAAATAAATTGAGTTTGAGAAATAAATTTAAAACGGATTGGGTTGAGAAATTAAAATTTGAGGAGGGCTGGGTTTGGGGAAAACCTCCATCTTAGCCCATTGTTTTTTAAATTTCATTGACACCCCCATGAGGTTGGCCTAATTGCAGAGACACCCCCATTGTTTCTGAAATGTCACTGCCACACCAGGATGCAAACCTTGGTCGTAGTTTCCTTGTCCAACAAATTCCATGTCTCATTGATTTTTAATTTCCTTGATTGCTAAGTGGATTCTTAAATAATATATATATATATATATATATATATATATATATATATATATATATATTCAATTGGATTCCGGCGAGATAAAACATAAAATTTAAACTCTCAAAAATCGATCTCACTAAATTAAATAATAATTTTTTTTCTTCGTTTCTTTGATTACATTATTCAAAAATTATTTTTACCCATTATTTTCTTAGAAATATTGACGAAAATTTCTTAAAATACGTATTTCGATAAAAATTTTTTAATATATGTATATTATCGTACATGGATAATATCTGAAATAAAATTTATGTTAAATTATAAATTAATTAAATATTAAATGTGTGATAAAAATAAGTAATATGATAATTTGGAGAGAAAATGTGATAAATCGATAACCATTGCGTAAATCGTTATCCTCGATCCAAATAGTTGACAAACTAGGTTGCGACCATCCAACACGATGGGGCGTACAAAGTATAAAATATAAAACAAAATAAATGTACTGCAGATCTTTGAGCCGTGCCACGTTTGGGTTGTAAAACAATTGAATATAGTAACCTACCCATGACGCTACCCATATTCAAATCCAAAGGCCGTAACGTCCCAACGCTGCAATTCTCCACAGAATGAAGGGCAAATATGGAACAACATCAGACAAACTTTGCATGATGCTTCCACCAATCAACCTATACTTCTCACCACATCGCAACAAATAAAACTTTCTTTCCGGATTCGCCCTTCTCTTCCCTCAAGAATAACAATCAACACCTGCCTAAACTCTATGGCTTCCTTTGGCCGGCCAATACCACGTGGCAGACACCCTTTAGTCCTACGATTCGAAATTATCAGTTTGAATAAATCTCATGAATGTCCCTGAATTATGATCTTTATTTTAAATTGTCTCAAAACTTTTAACTGTTTTAATTTATCCCCTAAATTATGCATTTTATTTTAATCCATTCATTCTATTAAGATTAATTATTAAATGAGATAAATTAAAAATTAGTCTTGGATAGATTTATCTCATTTTACCGTTAATTTTAATAGAATTTGTCTTAATAGAAAGGGTTGACTGAAATAAATTACATAATTTAGGGAAAAAATGAAATAATTAAAAGTTCAGGATTAATTTAGAATAAATGCTAAAATTTAGGGGTATTTATGAGATTTGCCCAATAAGTTTTTTATCAGAAAATAATGTGCAAATACAATGCTTTGGCCAAGAGCCCATAAACTATATGCGCATTTACGCACCACAGCGACCTTCTCCGGTGCTGTCACTACGACGCCATGGACGGCGGTGAAAAGTCGGAGAACATTCTCTACCAAGCACTGGTGGATCGGTTTCGAAGTTTGGAGGCGAGTCACGCAAAGCTCAGAGAGCAATTGAATGTACTGGTTCAAGAACAAGGTGTCAAGAATTCACGGGATGATGGGACGTCAGATTCCGGCGAAGTGACGCTAAGTGGATTCTTATCAACAATTTTGCATTCTATTATCACTAATAA